CCTTACCATCTTTAATAAATAATCCTTGTGTAGTGTTATATTTGTCCATCTTTGATAGGATATATAAATATATATAAAATTACCTCTGTCTATACAAATGGCATTTCAGATACAAATAATGAATATGGATATAAAGTTTTTTTTATTATTTCTTCTTAGATTATATGTGTATTTTTAAAATGTATTTATTAGATTTTTATCCCACCCACTGTGAGCTCAAGGTGGCATTCATAGTAGCCCCTCCTCCTATTTTCCCCTTTGAAGTGGGTTGGGGCAAAGGAGAGCAACTGGTTCAGAGCCACACAGTGAGCTTCCATGGCTGAAGGAGGACTAGAACTTGGTCTTCCTGAAGCCAGCTCAGCACCTTCACCACTATACCACACAAATTAAGTGGGGTGTTTGTTTTTTTTCTTTTATGTTGTTTCTGTTCTTATGCCTTTTTAATATCTTTGCTTGTATGTCTTTTTAAAGTTAATGTTGATCATTGTGTGTTTACTTTCTAAAGTTTCTAAAAAGGGAGTGTGCTAGCCATCTTTGGTGGTCCAGTATTGATCTTTGTTTCTGTCTAAATATTTCAACTACATCTGAACAAAAGTGCTGTGGCAAATAAGCACCTGCCTGAAGTGTTTTTAGATATATTTACATATTCTTTGGAGAATGGATTTGCAATATAAAATCCAACATAAAATGGCAATATGTAAACAACTAATTGCTCTACAAATTTGCTTTCACACAGTAGCAAGTGTATCTTTTGAAGGTCACTGTACTAATCATGTGGCATGCATAGCTGGGACAATAAATTATCAAGGACAGTTCACACACAAACACGTGCATGCACACACTGCCACTGGAGAGTAATTCATTACCTTTATTGCTTGCCAAATGCACTGAGATTTGTACTAGTTAACTCAAATGAACTTAGCTGGGACAAAAAGAAAGCTTATACAGTACACCAACGGTCTGAGAGACACCATAAGGTAGACTCCTGAAATAGCTTTGCGAACCTCTGATACTATAATACTGTGCATCCTAGGTAGATGCCCTTCTGATTAATGTCTGCATGGGAGATCACTGAGGCCCCTATGAATAGTCTCCCAGCTTTTGAAAAGAAGTTTGAGATATGAGCCTAGCAACAATAAGTTCTGGAAGAGGAAGGAGACGGAGAAAGCCCAAGTTCAGTTAAGAACACCTCCATGATCCTTTTTCGGTTAGGGTGCAACAAAAGCAGCAGGATCACCAGGCATTTCAACCAGGCACCTTCACGATGCAAGGTTGAGAAATCTATTTAATATCTGCAGGTCAAGAAATAATGCTAGGGAAAACTGGGCTTATTCCTGGCTGGATTTCAAGTCAAAAGGAAAAGAAAAAAGAAAAAGCCAGCCCACTGTTGATGTGGCTCACTAAAATGCTGGTTGGAAGAATACAATTCCTTTTGCACTGGGGCAGCAATAGACTGAGCCTCTGTTCTGTCTTTTCTGCACATATTCTCTGTATACAGTTCCATTCCTTACTACCACTCAAAAGCACATAATGCACACTGTAAGCCTTTCCTCTGGGGAAGCAGAACCTGGCTGTGCTATCTGTGTGTTTATTCTGCTGAGGATAACTGCTTCCCCCACCACTGCCTCTGCATTTTATCTCTTCTGCAGCTCAAGTTCAATGAAATGCTGAACAGACAGCCCTAGTCATAACATTTGGGCACTTGCCTTTAGCAGTGACTAATCCCTGGATTGATCTTTTCCAGCTGGAAGCTGAAATAACTACAGAATTGCAATGAGCTTTCTTTGGCATGATGGCCAAAGCGGAAATGCTGAGTCAAAGACCTGTTATTCAGTAGGTGGCCCTGAGGTTGCAACTTGGCCATAGTGGGGTCAGGTTTAACCTGTTGAGTTTTCCTAGTCCTGATTTTCAATGGAAAAATATGCTGTCCTGCCCTGTGTGTATATATCAGCAGCTGGCAGCAGCTGGCTGACCAGTCCGGGCTTGGACGCTAAGCACTGTCAAACTTGGTTAGCATTTTGATGGGAGTTCAGCAGGAAATACCTAGGCTATGGCTAGACTGGGAAGTTGGGGGGAAAAAAATCAGAAATCACTGCCATACTATTGCTAAAAAAACTGAATGGATTTGTCCATGAAGTCACCAGGAGTCAAGTTTGATTTGTAGGAGACGCTATCTCCAGGCTAGCTTTAATCTCTTCTTTCCCACCAACCCCAGTTGAGCTCGGAAGGCTAAATAAGTCACTTTATGCGAGATGGCGTATATACGAAATACAATAAATAAAATAAATAAATAAATGCATCCTTTTCTACCTTTTTTTCAGCTTGTTCCTCTCCTATGACCCCATACCCAGTAGTCCAGTCAGCATCCAAAAATGTGCCATCTAGTTGGCCTCCTCACCTTGCCACAAATCGCCCTCTCAGATTAGTATTTCAGAAGCTTCGCAAGCAGAGGAAAAAGATAATGTAAACAGGTAGCCTTGAGCCTCCTTCCTTCTAGCTCTCAGCATATCTGCCCTTTTAGTATAAGTTTTTCCTTATAGGTATGACCCCTTGAGACAACCTCTTCATCCAAAGTCATTTCTGGACTTACCTGTTTGCTATGTCAGGAGAACAGTGAATGGAAAGTTGACTTTTTTTTTTTTTTTTACAAAACTAATTTTTGTTACTTTTTTGTAAATATATGGAAGGTGTACGTTTGCATTCATGCAGTTATAGATCTAGGGGAGTCCACACTTAGACTTGATAAAAGTCCCTCACTGTTGCTTTACAGATGGGAGAAGAATGCAATTCCTGAACATCTTTTTATGATGCCATTTTAAAAAGCACAGCAGGGCTAGCCCTAATTAGGTGTTGGCGATTCTAAGCTTGGGACTTTTTCCAAGGACAGTTTCTATCAGAATCACATTTACCAGTTCAGGAACAAGCTGAACAAAATAGATCTGGATTTGATCCTCTTTCTGTTTTGAAATATATTTCAAACATACTAAAAAGCCACTTGGTTGGGTTTTATTTTAACTATCCCCCCCACCACCCCCAGGATGGGCAGGATATGGCTTGGACTGTAGAGCTTAAACTAGTCTGCCAAGCAAGGCATGTTTAACATGCTTCCATAGCAACAGGTTACCTTATTCAAGCAGACACAATTCTTCTTTTCCTAGTGAATTCCAGTAATGGGCTCATTCTAGCACACTTCATTGGTGTCATCTGTCACACAGGCTCTTGTCTGAAATGAATGGCCTTTTGATAGTTTAACCTTCTCTACATTCTAACAGAAGTGTAAATAAACAAGCAAGGAAACAAGCAAGTGTTTGTACTCTTTGTTAAAAGAGTAGTCTGACATATAGCATAGCTCCTGTGACATTAAAGGAGAATGTTGTAATGGGCTGGTTTCCATTGCTCCGAGGTCTTCCTTCTGAAGAGACTCTTATCTTCATTTTTGGATGCTCTGCTTTATTAAAAAATGTGCTTCTCATTTCCCAGATCCCACGGCCAAACAGGTGGACAAGATGAAAAATAATCTTCATTTCTATAACTATTTCTATCTCATTTGGGACCTTAAGCTCAGTGCATCAATATCTTAATGTAAGCTTCTGCTTTTGATCATATCTTCTGTTCGATGTAGGTGAAGTTAGAGGATGATTTGTACTACATCAACATATCTTAGTAATAAAGAAAATAAGCTCTAGAAATTAAATAGGAATTTTTATATCCGCACCACCTTCCACCAGCAGTACTTGCTCTACCAGAAATCCTATGAAACTCATCCTCTACAAAAATGCACTATGATGCAATTTCATGCATTTTTTGTATCTTAAGACAGTATTCCCCAATCTGGTATCCTACAAATATGTTTCATGACAGCTTCTAGCTTCTTCAACTGCTATGGCCATGCTGGGTATAGATTATGATAGCTGTGATCAAACACATCTAGAATGGGTAAATTCAGGTCATCTGTTCAACATTTTGGATGGGAACAAATATGACTCATCTGCAAAACAGTATTCAAAATAAGAGAACACGCTACTTTTAAGGCTGTTATCTTATGTATATAATTTGTGAATAAACCCATTAAACACCCTTAGAAAGGAATTTCTGAATAAATGTGCATAACTCTGGGCTATGTCACTGTATGCTAGGAACCGCCTTATACTGAGACAGGTCAATGATCTGTCTACTCGATATTATTAACAGAAGCTGTAGGTTTTCAGAGTTTCAGAAAGGGCTTTTCTGTATGAAAGCACATGCTCTACCTCTGAATTCCTCCCTGTCTGAAGAACATATTGCATGCTTAAAAAAGAAAAGGGAATGCTAATCCAAATAAAACAGATCAGTCTAGAAAATTTACTACCTTTAAAAAAAATGAATTAGAGTAGGTCTTCCATACTGCTGTGTCCTTTTCTGCTGATTCTCAACATCCAGACTTCTAAAATGGCTATGAAATCTCTCTATGCTTTCAGGCCAATCTTCTAAAGTGGGTTAGCCACTTCTCTCCAGCCATACTTGCTGTAGTGTCTGTGTGATGCAACATAGCCTCACATTGTTCACAATCCATTCCAGGCAGAGTAGCCAAGTTCAGCTCCTTTCAAATGAAAAGAATATAGAGCTTCATTTTTTTTCTTACCTTGGCTACAATATTTTCAGGAAGCTTAGAAGAGAATTTTGGATCAGCATTTTTTGACTAATATGACTTCACTACCTGCTCAAATCTGCTATCCAGGTGCTGTTGATAGGCAACTTCAAAGCTACTTCCTCAGAGTCCTTAAACTTTAGAACACTTGGACTGAGCAATCGTTCAGTCAGAACATGCTTTCAAACAGAGAACTATCCTCTCATAATCTTTCAAAGGAGGACCATCCTCAATAAAATAGAATATGTGCCCACGTTGTATGGTTGACTAATTATCCAGGGGCAGTTTCTTTGGAAGGACTCTGTAATTTTGTTAAGCATAAGATCAAGGTAACTTTTGAAAGGTAAATCCTATCTCAGTTACCATCACATACCTCTCCTCTGGTGCAAGGCACTGCATCAGAATATCTGGAAGTACACAGAGATCCCTCTTCACTGTTATCATTTGGTAGCCCAAATGTAGTTGTGCAATTGACGGAAAAGTATTTGTAAGGTCTCCAAGTCTGCCCATAGTCCTGGGACCTCTCCAGTACCATGGCTGCTGGGCGGGGTGACTTGAAGACTACAATGACATGGGTCAGATAGAACTCTGTTTCCAGATCCAGCCTGATTTCTTCCCTGTGCACCCCTTGTGCAGACTGCCACCAAGAATCAGGATGCAGGAAGAAGTCATCAGTCATTTCATCAGGGAGGTGGGAGTTATTAGGCTGGTTGGCATTGCATTTGGTACACTTGGGCAATCCACAGGAGACATGGTGCAGGTTGTGCTCTGGATAAAAGCAGTAGAGTTCTGTGCTGTTCTGTCCACAAGTGGTAAGTGTGGTTGGTGTCCTGCCTGTTGCTAGATTCCCCACTGCAGGATTGCAGGAATGCCCATCACAACGGAAAGCTCGTGGCTTCACTGAATCTGCAAGAAGAGAGGGAAACAAAATTATGACCAACCAATAAACTGCACCATTCTGTTCCACCTGCCCTAGCCCCAAGTGCTTCCTGAACACCTAAGATCATACCATTATATGGTTCCCTATCCTGCCTGCCTTTCTACCTTCTGTATTGTTGGGTGGCTGTTAAAGAGAGTGGTTGGTTGATTTTGGATTTTTGAAAATACTAAATTATTTGAAACCCTTTATTTTAGAAGCAGGATAAATTATGCAAAATCAGCAAAGATATCTAGTGAGAATTAATGAGCAGAAATAACTGAGTTCACAGAACAAAACAAGTTTAAAAATCTGCAAGGTGTGACAACCTATTTTAGGGAAGGTTGCTGATTGGGTGGTAGCACTCAGCTTCAGAGGGCCCTGGATGAAGCAGATTACCTGGACCCTTTTCAGTCAGGGTTCAGGCCAGGTCACAGCACTGAGACAGCATTGGTTGTGCTTGTGGGTGACCTGTGGAAGGCCTGGAATGGTGGTGGGGAATCCATTCTGCCTTCCTGAATCTCTCAGAAGCATTCAGTACCATCAGCCCTGGTTTCCTCTTGGACTGTCTCTGGGGATTGGGAGTGGGGGACACTGTTTTGCAGTAGTACTCCTTTTTATTCTGTGGCTGGTTCCAGTCACTGTGGTGGGGTGGGGAGAGGTCAAGCCCTAGGCTCCTGCAATTTTTTTTTCTGGGTGCAGTTCGAGGTGCAGGTTACCACCTTTAAAACTCTGAATGGCATAGGGCCAAGTTATTTGTGATACCACCTCTCCCTGAAGGTATCTGCCCATTCCACCAGGTTAGATAGGGTGGGTGTGCTCCAGGTCCCTTCCCTTAAATGTTGCCATCTAGGGGACCTTGGCAGCCTAGGACCTTCCGATAATGTATTCTGCTCTTTAGAACACCCTTCCCCTGAGATTCAGTAGGCCCCTACCATCCTAGCATCTGGAAGGCCTTGAAGAGCTGACTATTCTTACAAGTGTTGGAGTACAGTGAGGCTGGAGCCCAGTAAATTTGAATGTTAATGTGTGGAGGAGTGTCATTTTGGGGGCCCTGAGAGTTTTTGTGAAGATTGTGTGGGTGGATGGGTTGCTATTTTATTGCTGCTTGCAAGCTGCCCAAGGTCATGGTGCACAAGATGGGTGACTATAGAAGTTTTTTAAATTAAAAGATAAATAAACATGGAAGTATCTGCTGGGCACATCCCTGCATAAGTACCTTTCTATAATGTGCAGCTGCTAGCATTTCAGGGCCACTGGAGCCTCTTGGCCTGAGACAGAGGAAATACTATAGTTCTCAGAAGTCCAAGATGGCAAGGCAATTTACTAGCCATTTGTTTATTAATAACTAATTGCAGTTGCTCTAAACTATTAGTCAAATCAGATCTAGTAGCCTTTTGTGGAAAGTCCATATTATATTTAAATGAGGGTTGAAAAAAACCAAAGCAGATTCTATATGATAAATACTGTATACAACTTAACTAGCTAATTAGCCTATGGTTACCATGGTAGCTCATCACTAATCTCTCTCACTGTTGTTAGAAGTGAAATGAATCCATGGTTTGCTTTGTGCTTCAATTTCTGCAAACCAACATTTATTTTTATTCTATGGCAATAAGTGTGGTACAGTAGAATCTCTATCCTGGAGGCCAATCAAAATTGGCAGCAGGGCGTTGGGGGTGACTTTTCAGATTACTTTCGTTAGATCATGTTCAGCATGAAACACCAATCAGTTCTGTGATGTTTCTTATTTCTTATCAGGAAGAATTGAGAAAGAGGAAAGGGAGGAAACTAGGACACATTACTGATTTCCAGAAATCAATGAGCGGGATTTAAAGGTAAATATGAACTGAAATAAGATAGCTATTAACACTATTTACAGAAGACTGCTTGAGAGTTAGAACAGCGAAGACACATCTTGAGAGCACCAGAATGGGGGAAATGTGCTTGGAGAAGAGCAGATTCCATACTTTGGCTTGTGCAAATGGAAATCCTCTTTGTGATCCTCTAGCTTAAGGTGTAAAGCCAATATTGGTAAGATGCATTCCACATGCACAGGGATCCAGCCCAACAGAAACCTTTGTACTAACTCTGTTTCACAAAGAAACTTGACTAGGTATTAATAAGAGTTATCAGGGGCAAGAAATGAAGGGGGGGTGGGCATGATAAAGGTAGATGTTTTCACCAACTTACAAAAAGCATCCCTTATAGATGAGATCAGAAAACCCTTTTCCCCTTTCCTCAGTTTCCTAGCTTTACCTTATAGAACATACAGAGCCAGTTTGGTGTAGTGGTTAGGGCACCAGGCTAGAAACCGGGAAACCATGAGTTCTAGTCCCACCTTAGGCACAAAGCCAGCTGGGTGACCCTGAGCCAGTCACTCAAGAAGGCAAGGGCAAACCAGGACTAGTCCAGACATCACCAGGAGTCAAAAACTGATTTGAAGGCACAGAAAACAAACAAAAAAAGTAAATGGTTCCTGTTGAACTGTTGTGTGGTTGAGAACAGCAAAGTAGAACACAAGGCTAATGAGCACAGAGGAGGTTGGTTGTGGGGGAAGGGATGGATCAAAATCTGGTTTTAAGAGCCTCACATTGGAAGAAATCAATGTACTGGAGATTGCTTGGCTTCCCAATCAGGCAGCCCATCCATCACTCACTTATTCCTTGAAATGTGGGGTCACAGCCATGGGGCACTATGGATGAAGGGACAGAAGCAACTTGGGACCTAGCCTGAATACCAAATGGAGCTCCTTGAATAATTCATAGAAGGGATAAACAATCAAGATTGTAGTGCATTTTTCTTTTCTGGGCCCCAGGTGCTGCATGTCATTGACAATTTGGCTCTTGATGGATGGGTTGCTCAATAATCCTTGCCCCTTGGCTATTTATGTATTTACTCCACAGTCCCCAGGGGGCTGTTCAGAGAGGTGGCTGTTTGCTGGAGGTGGCTTGATTAAAGAGTGGCTCCAGTGAGGGTGACTCACACAGCTGGAAAAGCAGAACTGGGCAACCTCTTCAATGGGCAACAGCTATATCAGACAATTCCAAAGGACATTAAATGTTAACTAGTAAATATGTGATTTGTTATCCTTTTTCAAAGCATATATAGACTCAAACTATTGGCAAAGAGAGCTGAAATGTTCTCACTGAATTCAGCTGCCTGTATGTATGCAATCTTCAGCTGCCTGAAGAAGAAAGATATATGCAATCATCACTGGTGTGGGACCATATAAACAAAGATTCAGCAGTTGTTAAGTGTGTTTTGCAACACTTTTGCATTTTTCTTCAATGGAAAACCATTTAGTTTTGTAGGTTTTTTTTCTTGTTGCTGAGTACTTTTCTCCAGTACTGGGTACTGGAGTACTGTTATCAAGCAAGAAAAATGAATTTTAAAAAAGACCATCAGGGATGGTCTGACTAATAATTGTGTGGTCTGTATTCTTTTATGTTTGTTTTCATGAGAACTTCTGCTGTTAGTGTGTTTTAAGTTTATAAAGCCAGAGTGCATGATCTTCCAGCTGACTCCAGATGGGATTGCACTCTGACTTAAGCAGTGGGTTCACAACTTGGTGGTGTTTTTAAAATCCTGCTTTTATAAGGGATGGTAGGTTGATATTCACAACACAAAATTGTTTTCACTAGCTTAGATCATGCTGAAGGTTTCCCTGGGGCAAGTGAATGTAGTTAGGCTTGCTTCAAAGTAAACCTACTTATGATGGTACTGTTCTATTTCAGATGTATTTTTTCCTAGATTGTCCTATCCTTGCTATTTGGAATTTAATATATAGCAATTCTATCAATGCACAAAAGTCAATTTAAAATTTAGAAGAATAACTTAAGAGGAACCACATCAGAAGAAAAAATGGATAGAATATGAATACAGGTATGACAGTCATTGTGCGTAAGCCAGTTCTTGTAGAGGTAGAGACAAATCTCAGTGGGTCCCAATCAGGCAAACAGAAAGGCTGTGCTGTCTCTCTCTCATGTCCCTCTAGAATGGACAGGTGGAATTGCCAGTGAGGGAAGCAGATCTGGGTAGGGATGAACCATATAACAGTGTAGAATCACAATGACACAGCTCTGATTTGGGAGTGGAGCAGAGACCCCATGAAGACATGCCTTCACCCAACACAGATGTGACATTTAACTAGAATGCCAACTTTTTAATTCGTATCAGCTGAAGATGAATAATGACTGAATCAGTTCAGAAAAAAGGTAATACTTCACAGTTGCTAGCATGGAATTTCAGTCCCCATGTATAATGATAGCTATTTGGGGCTCAGAGAACTCCAGGACCACTTGTCCAAGTAGAAACTGCCCCAGGTGTGCCCATACATAAATTCTGACAAATAATCCCCCCATCCCCACAGAGAGGTGAGCATTGTTTTATGGAGCTTTTCTCCTGTAGAACTGGCTCTCCTCAAAAACAAGTTCAGCACTTGTTGATATTTAGAAAATTAGTGAAAACTTTGTTTAGGCATTCAGGATTGAGATTTTATTTATTTATTTATTTATTTATTTATTTATTTATTTATTTATTTATTTGTTCTGTCATATTTATATCACTGCCCAACTCCCC